CCCCCCCCTCCCAACCCCAATACTCATATATCAATTGTGCCAAATAACAAGGGTATTGATAATGAGTTGCATATTCCTTTTTTATTGTTCCTTACATATAAAAGATAGAAAGATTTTTTAAACTATCATTTCATATAAATATATAAAAGAATTATATTGAATATATTTTGGGCCTCTTATTAACGTTTGGCTTTAGGCCACCATATCGATTGAGCCGCCCCTGGATACTTAGTCAGGAAATTTGGATGAATTGACTAATCTTTAAATGCATTATAAATTGTGGATATATTTTAAATAGCAGACTTAAAAGTAGCTATTTGTGCACGTCGCCCGAATAATGGCCGTCAAACTAGATAAAATAGCCTTACAAATTCCATGCGTTTAAACTGTGGATAGTTTCTTACCTCGAGTTATCATCCAATAGAAAGGAGTTGGTCTCTGCATTGTTCAATTCCTCTGTCATAAGTACCCTCATGCTAGATATGACCTATCAGGAGAAAAGGGAAATTCCCTCAACATTCAACTATTACTGATATGAACATGCACTTCAATCGAATAAACACCATCGGCCACGAATAACTTACATCTGGAGAAACACTTCGTGTATTGTATTTATCATCCCAGTAAAGAGTACAAACTCTGTAAAGTTGCTGGACACTGAGAACCTGTAAAACCAGAATTTCACATTTAAAGAAAGGTGATATGGTTTATACTCGATGAAATGGAACAGAATGGTCAAACCAAATTCTGACCTGGACTGATAGAGAAAAAGTTTGACAAAGAACTCTTACATATAAATTGCAAAACGGAAACATTAAACTTTTAAGTCTTCTAGATATGCATTTCATAACATGGGGCTCAGAGCGGAGCTAATATTGATTGAGAAAAAGGACTTACAGGACACAAATTATTAGTGATATCATCATACGAAATTCTGTACTTCTGGTGTATAACCTGCAAAAGAGCAACGATAAACAGAAAACTCCGTATCAATGGTAGATCGCTTTGCATATGCATAATTGTAGACATAAGCAAATTCTAAAAGACAAAAAGGAAAAGCAACAACTATCTTGCAACACATAAGAAATTAGTGAGAAACCAAAGAAACCTCAAGGAAACTTCAGCAGTTTAGCTTTACCACTAATTCATTGCCAGACACGACGCCTCATAAATTTTTCCTTGCACAATAAACCATATCTAATGGCTCAATCACTTTCGTCTGAGGCTTAATGAAGTACTTGACAATATTAAAAGGAATAAAGGGAAAACAGATGTCATAAAGATAGATTGGTGGAACCAAAACAACTAAGATCACCAGAATCAAATAATAGCAAGGGCACACGTAAAAATAGAAGAATAAAGTGAAGGTTCCTACACTCTAATATTCTACTTGCAAGACAGATATGCAAAATATGCACATGTCAGGCTCTTCAAGGCAGAGCCAGGATTTCAATTTTATAGGTGCTGAATTTTAGAACGACAAGTGCTAATAATTGGGTTTTAACTTTAATAATTGCACATATTTAATGTTTCTTAATACAAATACACTGTTCGCGTAAAAGCTATTGGGTTCGGCTGAATCCATAGCCGGGCTTCTAGCATAGCCCCTGTGACTTCAACAGTTGATTTGTGGTAAGTTAGGTGGCTACTTCTAATCAATGATACTAGAAAAAAAAATGTTGAAATGGAAGATGAAAAATATTAACATACCAAGAATCCAACAACTTGTCTTATATGTCTGAGTTCATCCCAGGATGAGCCGGCATACTGCAAGCCGAGAATATATTAAGCGAAAAGTTAACTAGATGTGATTTTTTTTCATTTAGGTGATACAATGAACGTTAAAATACCTCTTCCTTTGCTTGGCAGCACCACAACTCTAGCTCAGCCAAACCAGATTTAACATATTCTGCATTACTGAATGTACAACACTCCTGCCGAAGAAGAAAACTACAGTTTGATAATTTATCTGAGATTAGCATAAATTGACAAATAACAAAAGATGCTTAGATAAGAAAACTCAGTCACCTGTTAAAGAGCTGAACATTAATGTATGAAAAGGCTTGACTAAATATCTTCTGAACAAGAATTGGAGGCATCTGAAAATGAAAGGCAACAAGCATTAGCTTTCCTTCTGAATCAAATAAAAAAGAGAGAAAAAATTAAAAGTTTGTGAGGCCGTACAAAGTTTTCTTTCAATGTACAGAGAAGAGAGTCGAGGCATTCAATTATCCCCCGCCAGTGATTTATTGAATAATCTTTGCCAAAGGATCGACCAGAT